AGAAGATTTTGGATTACGGATTTTGGGTCTGTATATGTGGTTACGTGTGGTTCAGAAGCAAAATAAAAAGTTTGTTCCCTGCAAAAGTAATTAGAAAGTTGCAAAATGATTAACAGCTTAGGAGTTCCAAAAGAGATCCATCCCCACTTACTTCGCATATGAGTTGGTGGTTGGAAATGGCTGGTGCTTTAATAAATTTGAGGTAATATTTATGTGTTTGTTTGGCATAAATTATGAACTGGGAAAAGGGAACAACTTTTGGCTTTCGAAATGTTTGTGGTTCAAGTGGTTGAGGTGGCTTACCCCTCTTGGCTCATTGTTGTTTGGTCTACGTGTTTATTCAGCTGCTCCTTCCCCCTACCTCTTACCTCTTGCCCCCTTATCCTTGGTGGTTGCGTGTGCAGGTAACCCGAATGGAATGCCAACTGCAAGGGAAGGTAGGTCAAAGTGCAAGGGTCGGTGGGTGATTGGGTTGGGATCGTGGGCATGGCAATGGAACCGGCATCGTCGAGTGCTCCCAAAACAAAATTGTTGCCAAGAAGCAACCAGAACTGCTTCTTTCCCGTTCTCCACTTGACTCTTGCCCCAATACTCTTCTCGCTTTTCCCCATTTTCTGGCCGCAATAAAAATCGAAATCAGAAAAGTTTGTTGCCTTCATTTTCCGATTCCCCCTTTTTTCTGCCTTGAAACATTTTTGGAATTTTAAAGTTTAACCAACACAAGATAGTTTTCTAGCGGATGGAAGCAATTCCCGAGTTAAGCCAAAGAATGCTGCGTTCCTTTTAATTAAACTTATCTGGCCAAAAGAGCATCGCGGGTTTGTTTGGGAAAGCGATCCTAAATTTCGGGAACCATTTTCCACACTTCCTATCAGCCCCACCATCTCCTTCAACAACATCTGAAGCAATCGCATCCTCTGCAGGACTACCGTAGAGTTGGCCCAGGAATCCTTTGGCTTCCGAAATCATTCAGCGAGTGCATTAATAATTCAAAAGACAAATAAACGAAGGGAATGTTTGTTTTTGGCTGTGTTTTCTGAGTGGAATCACTGTAACTGATTCGAATGGAGCAGAAGATAAACAGCCAGCAGGGTGTAAGTACTTCAAGAAGAGAAGTTATATTGACGCTGGGAAGGGCTGGCTTGAAGCACATTCCTTATTACAGTCATCATCTTAGTCGATAACATATTAACTACATGAACTCAATCATAATCAGGCAAAGGAGCTGCAGTGGGTAGAGATATCTAAGGGGTTTCTGCTCAGTCACACGCATCATCCGTCAGTCTGGCACGCCTCCAAGTCCTACAACTCCTACTCCAATTTCAACTCCTCCGGCAAGTGACAAATTGAGCATTTTCCATTGTCTCCGGAACCGAACGAGGCTGATGAGATGCGATGAGCAGAAGATGAGCCCTGAATGGATGGCTTGGAGTGGGAAAACTTTTCAATTACTTCCAAGGAGCTGAGGAGCTGTGGAGCAGTCTGAGCAGTAATGAATAATAATCTGTTATCCCCCCGGCATCCCCTCCCTGTGGCCATCCATCATTAAGAATCCTGGTAGAGACACGTACTCCTGCTTTTCCTTGGACAATTTCATGCTGGAACAATATTGACTCTGCCCTGCCGAGATTGCCGGCTTTCGACTTGGCTCACTCATTCCCCTGCAATTAAAAGGACATCGATGGACTGCCCTCTGGCCTCCTTGTTTCAATTACAAAGTGGCTTTACCCATCTAATTGAATCGTGAGCTGGCCTCCATTCCGGTTCATACTTTATTCCACCTCAGCACTCTATTTTGTTTGCTTTTAGTTTTCCTCGAAAGCTTCTCGAATTGCTGGAAAGGGTTAATGAACTTTGGCTCGATTAATGTTTATTTTGAGTTACTAAGTAGTTTCTTATATCGAAATTTGTAGGCCATAGAAGATGGAGAAATGGGTTTTTTTCAAAATATGAATTTGGCATAACATTGTCCAAGAAAATCAAACACTTTGTAGAGAAGTTCAGTTATACAGTTTATGATATGCACAAAAAAAAGATTGAAATGATACCCTTTTAAAAATAGCACTCTAAAAAGCATAGCGCAATTAAATACTTGAACATTTACATTGAGTAAACATTTAAATAATGGAAAAAAGGGACCAAGGGATGAAAAGTTTTTATGGTCGATTGAATCTTCGATGGTGCTTGCAAAATCACCGATAACATTTTTTTATATTATACCCCCAAGCATGGGCCATAAATTTCTCATTCGATGGGAATCTGTTTCGACAAAACAACATTTCTGTTAAACAAGCTGCTCCCCGATGAACAAGAGTTTCGAGCATCTAACAAAAATTAATTGTCTGCACAAATTAGCCCCGAGAACAAATATAACCATCCCTCCTCATTCCACTCGACAAAGCATTTGCAATCATTTTCCATTTACAGGGACAAAAGGAAGCAAATGTCGCTCGTTATTTTTAATCAGCTATCAAAATTTATCGCTGAAAATTTGTCTGGCCAGTGGGCAGATGTTTTGGCCATGGACCATTTCCATTACCCCCTCGCATTACAGGTTCATTATAATGCGTCCAGCGAAATATTTTACGCGAATTTAATAAACTCTGGGAATTGGGCTGGCGCATTAAAGCTAATGGGAAATTTCGACATCCAGCTGATATGGCATGTTAGTTATACGCACTGGGGGATGTGTCGGTTGCGATAGTCGTTTGAATATTTAATGGAAAGTGTGCGCTTGTATTTTAAGTGGGGGTGAACGCCTTTTCTGTCGGATCATAATCATTGATTTATAGACACCGAAATACATTCTTTGCGGTAGTTGTGATAAAATTGAGTCTCTCTATTTCTTTTTATGCCCAGACCTTCTATAGTGAGAATCTTGAAAAATGTAAGAAGCTTATGAGTTATCGCATATTTTATAAGCAAAGCTACGATTAAAGTACCAACATATTTTAGGCTGATATTAAAGCAAACTCCAAAAGCCTATTTAGTCAAAAAGTAAATTCTGTAGATTGAACGAATATTTAAAGAGTATAAATTGCAATAAATCTGGTAAATACCTTAAGCTTTACTTTTTTAAAATTTTAAATACAATGCACAAGCAAATAAAAACATTTATACCAATTTGCTCAAACTATATATATAAAATATATACCATTTTAATCCTAGTTGAACAAAAACAAAGGGAAAGAACTTTGTAGTTTTTTTTTGGGGGGTAATTGAGAAAATAACAAAAACATCCTTTTTCCTTAAAAGGATTTGGCTGTGCCCCAGTTCTTTTATTCTGATTGCAATTGTGTAATGGCCCGAGTTCTCAGGGTAAAAATCGTAGCATACTTTAAGGCCTGACATGATTCAGAATTTTGTTCGTTATTCGCTGCTGTTGTTGTTAATGCTGGCCAAGAGTCAAGAGCACTTAGAGGCCATTCAATCAACGAGCCACTAAGCGAAGAAAGTGGACCCTGGGTCTTCCACTGAAAAGTGTTCGAGCAGAACATCAAATTTGCATAATATTCTTTTATGGCTTTTATGTTGTGGTCGCGAAACTTGAACCGCATAAAGGTTTTGGGCGCTGAAGGTTCTCATGGGGGTGTGGAAACTTTTTGAAGGGTCGTTGGCTGGCATTTATTGAGTGGCTTTTAATCCCCGGCACATTTCAATTAGTGTCAACTTTTTGATTTTATGTAAACACAAGCGGACGCAGAACAACTTTGGAGCCCCTCGTTTTTCCCCCCACCAATTTGTTGTTCCTCTAATCAGTGTATGCGCACACTCACACACAGAAAAGCCCAAGCAGAAATACATATGTATATGCACATGAGTGTTGGTCACGCAATCCTGCGGTTGTGGTAATGTGTGTGTTTTGCGAGCGGTAAAAGTGTGTTCTACACTGCGTATGAGTGTTTATTCTATAGTTAAAGTCTTTGTATGTCATGTTACCCTAAACCCATTCGTAAGTGAGAAGATTATGTTGTTTATAAAAGTCGTTGACTAAGTATAGTAAAGTTTTAGCTTGGAATTTCACTTTGAAAGTACACTCTATAGTTAAAGTCACATTTTCCTAAACTAAAATACGACGATTCTGCTGTTTATAAAATGCTTTACTAAGTATCGTAAAGTTTTTCTTGGAATTTCACATTATAGGTACAAGATTCTATAGTTATGGTTTTTGAATGCCATATTTCCCTAAACCCATTTGCAAATACGATGTGACCGCTGCTTATAAATTGCTTTACTAAGTATAGAAAAGTTTTTGCTTGAAATTTCACTTCGAAAGTACAAGATTCCATAGTTAAAGTCATATTTCCCTAAATCCATTCTTAAATAGGATGATTCAGCTATTTATAAAATGCTTTACTAAGTATAGTAAAGTTTTTGCTTGGAAATTAATCTTGCAGAACGGTTTATATGCTAATGAAATCATTTTCGGACTAAAAATGGAAGGGTTCTGAATGAATTTATAATACCATCTGAAAAGGCAAAATAGGCCTTTTAAAATTTTATAAAAATTCAATTTTTAGGCTTTATATTGAATGAAAAGGATGTAAGCCAAAGCGTAAAATAATTGGATTGGGTATGTAAAAATCTTTTTTTACCAAATCATTTTTTTACCATTAAAGGTGTTTTATTACATAGAGTAAACGACATGGCAACTGATGATCATACCCCTTACATTTCCCTATTCAGTTTGGCTTTGGAGTTGTAAAAAACGTGGTTCTGGCACGGATATTGTCAAAGGTTCGTAGGACAAGCCCCGAATAAGTGAGTATTGGAACATCCGTAGAAACCACATTCTCGTCAGCCGCTGGTCGTCCAACTGTCGTTTGTTTACATAACATCAACATCAACATGAGCCGAAAAAAAGCCGAAGGATATTCGGAATCTTGAGTGGGCACATGCGCACTGGTGTTTCCGAATACCCTTTGACCCCCCGGGTGGGTCTTCACTATCGACTGCCTGCAACTGTTGCTTCCTTTTTTGATTGCACTGGCAACTGACACTAATCCAATCTGGTCGAATCAGCTGCGGAACGAGCTGCAATCCCAACTGGTGCCACTAATTGCGAACAGGGCACAAAGGCAGCGCCAATGGATTTAATTTGCAGTCAGACAAATTGCACAACTTGGTCAAAACAATTGCCGGCAGTTAAATTGTAAGGGTAAATACTTTCCCTAACGGGGGAATTCAATTACACTTGGCAGACCGTCGACTGTCAACGGGAGTAATAAAAGTTATCGAGGCGAACCAGTTGGTCATGTTCGCGAATCCCTTCAAAATGTAATCAAATTTTAAAAGCTTTCGAGCACGTGACTCGATGGCGGCTATTAAAGCGTAACCAAGTAAATTGACTGTGATAAAGCTGGGATTTCTGGGGTGGGAACAGTCAAAACTACACGAATTCCAAGTGATAAGAGACCGCTAATCCCCCAGACGTGCACTTATCAGCGAAGCAAACTCATACCATTTCTATTTTGTAGGATAAACCCCTTAGCAGATCCCCTTTTCCTTAAGATTTCCCACCAGTATTGAGTGCACAAAACAGCTGAAGAAAAACCCGGAAAAGGAAAGGTTAAGCCAGTCAACCCCCGATGCAACAAATGGCGCTACTAAGGCGGATATAGAACACAATAAGCAGCCGCGAAACAGAACAGCAAATGGAAGTGGAAACACAAGTGGATGTTGGGGGCACTAAATAGTTGCAGGAGTTGCAGGAAGAAGGATAAGCCGGAGAAAAAGCTGCAGCCGAGTGCCAAAGTTCACACCAACCCTATCAGGAAATCCGGGAAAAAATGAGGGTGGGATAAGGATAATAATGCGAAAGGAAGAACAAATATGCGTTGATCTGTGGCAGGGTCTTGGCAAAGGGGTATATAACAATAGGAGTGTGTGGCAAACAGCAAAAGGAATCAAATCGCAATAAGGCGAGTGAAAACTAAACGGAATGGAATCCCCTTAATGTAAACAAACTGGGCACGTGACCAGAAAGAAAGCAGCTATAAGGATGTTGGGTTAAGGTCCAAGCTCTGGAAAACAAACTGCTGCACAAAAGTAATCCCGACAGTTACCAGATTGTTGCAAGGATCCGAAAATACGGGAACATTTTGAGTTTTGGCAGAGAGTTGCAAGACATTGTATTATCCAAATGGTAAGTAAGAGAGTTGAAACATTATTCGCCCCCAAAAGAAACAGCACTGACTACCTTTTTGCTTTCTCCAGATTCAAGTGCATCTGCAGCAGTTAACTGGCTGTTAAATTAAAAATAATCTTTAACACCATCTTGATTGGAATTGAGATTGCGAAATGGCCATCCATCAATGCCACTGCCACATTTCTGAGTTTCTTTTATTACTGCCTTATTTCTTTTAAGACACTTAAAAAATATTTTTATTAAGCAAGATGTAGATAATTTCAAACCTAATACCTAACCTAATAATATATCTTATGACTATATGATCTTCTTGCTTTTTTGTTTGCATCGCTTACGCTGCCAGATTGACTGGCTGTTGGAATTGAACTCCTCGAGAATTTTCCGGCCCAAACGACAGGAATACTCAGCCAGCTGGCGGTTCTCCAAATGGGATTTCTCCTCCAAGTAGAGTTTCTTCTTGCGAAAGGAGATCCTGGTATGCTCTTTCGCCTCATCCACAGGATCGACCTCCAGACCCCAGTCAAAGTCGCCTTCGCGAGCCCTTAGCTCGAGGGGATTGGGTTCGATTCCCGGCCTATAGGCAACCAAGTACCTCCTTCCATCTGCACAATTATAAAATCTGGTGGAGCAGCTCATCTCCTCCGCCAAATGCTCCACAATTGCCTCCTGCAATCGAGGCAATGGACTAAAGTCAATGAATCTGTTATTACTGGCCAGAAATCGACGCAATCGTCTCAGAATCACATCTGCCTTACGAATATGCTCCTTCAACTCCGCCACAGAAAGTTGACCCAACTGCCCGGGACTTATGCTATCATGCAAAGAACAAACCATCTGGCGTAAAGTCCGTTTGGGTGGCAATTGAGATTTAGTTACAAAGGATTCATCAGGAGGAACATAGTTGTAGCTGTGCTCAATGTGGATAAGACGGACGAGTTTGGTAGTATCTGTCCCAATGTCTAAAACGAAGCAAAGTCTTAAAGCTTACTATCTTTTTCAGGTGTACTTGGCCTACCTTTAACGCCGCTATTTAGTTGCCCAGACATGCCTAAAGACTTATCCACTTTGCCTTATAAGGGAGAGTTATAAAGTCTAAAACAAGTTGCCAAGATTTCCACTTAGCTTACGGAAACTGCAGACAACCAACTTAAAGCGATTTTAGCTTATCTGAAGCTGCAATTTGAATTTAATAAAAACTTTGTCCAGTCTTTTAGAAGCTAAATTGGGCTCTCTCTTTTTTTTTCCTCACAGCTGTCAATGACAGAGCCCAGGGCTGCCCAAAAATATATAATATTTTTGGATCACCAGGAACCCATACTTTGAAAAGGTGACAACCCATAAAAAGTGTTGCAAGTTGTTTCATCGAAACAAAGGAAAGTGCAACTGAAAATTTAACTAAGTTGGCAACTAAAGGATGCATAGATACTTTATATCCCCATTTCCAACAAGTAAGGATATTATTATGGCCAAGTTAAACTGAAATCAAAGTTTTAGTGTTCCGAAAAAGTCGGTTCTGCAAATTGTTGGCCATTGGCTTTACATGCAAAACTGCGCCTCCGGGGTGTCGAAGGTGACGGGAAAGTTTCATGGATGGGCCAACCACAGCAACTATCGAACATCAACAACCATCCAGTTTTATACTATAGAATGGATGGTATTATGTGGAATGGGAGGACATGTCAAGCTCCCAACTTCTTTGGTGAAAGATTTTATTGCGCTCAGCCGTTTGCATGTGTTTCTAGTCTGAAAATGGGGACTGTTTGGAAAATCCTCCCATCCTAAGAGTGGGCCTAGAGTAAATGAAGCACAACGCTTTTGTTTTTCTTGGATTTAGTTTTATGAGTCTACATCGGATGTAATTGAATTATGCAAGTTGGCAGACGACTTTATTAGCATTCGATCGTAAAGTGGGGCAGACGGAGAGTAGGGGGCAGAAAGGGGATGATGTCACGGTTGAAGGATAAGACCAGGAGACAGGATACGGGGTACAGACGGACTCAGACGAGGGTTCGCTTTTTAGCAGTATGATTTGAATCTCAGATGATTCCGCACAACTCACAAGGAAATGTATTGGAAAATATATGGATAAGATATTCGATAAATATTCCTGGGACAAGACAGTTTGCATGCGAACGAAGGTTTTCCCAGCCTAATTAAGACCAATGTGTTGCAAAAGGAAGATATTTAAACTGAACAAGAGTTCACGACAACCCTTGGCAGAGCCACGCTTAAGCAAAAAACATATTTGTCAACCGCCCCAGGGATATTGCAGTGGGTACTGTTTCAATATTGCGGACCAATATTTAATATTTAAGTTACCATGGTGCAAGAAAAACTGTATGGGGTGGTGCATTCTGGGGGAATTGTGTCAACTCAGTGCGGGTTTCTCCTATAGAAAATGCAGTGCCAAAAAAAACTCCCCTGAAGAGACCTCCGTGAACTGACAGAATCATCTGCAGGGACCTCCAATTACAGTTTCATGAACTGTCAGATGGGTTGAGATGGATTGGCGTGGAGTGGGTGGAGCAAATGGCTCCCCCGAATCCATTTACGAACCGAAACCAATGACAAATTGAAATCAAAAGCGTTCGAATTGCATTTGCATCTCCACTGCCCTTTCACTTAATACCATGCCCCTGTAAATTGAGAACTGAATTGGGAACATCCGAGAGCTGCTTTTGTGTCCTGTCGAGTTGGACAAGGACTAAGCTGTATCAGACGAATCAGGGGATGTGGCATTGCACCTCACGCATCACCACGCAGGCTTACAAATGTCAGAAGATTTCGTAATTCGCATCAACAGGAGAGATGGTTCAACGATATGGTTCTGAGCAGACGCACTGAGTCAACAGAATACAGCCATCGATTGCTGCAGTCATCAGCAGTAAAACAATGCACTTAACCAGGCCCCCAGGACACGCTCTCCACACTTTCCCCACTTTTCCCCTTCACATCCTGGGAAAACTTCTACACCACATCGAAAAGTTGCCTAAAAATCCTCACGTCCTCGGCACGTGACCAAAATGTATGGCGGTAAACAACGAAAATATGAAAATGAAGAGGCGAATTCAGGAAATAATGGAAAGAAGGAAATCATGAGGAGGAAGTCCTAAGTCGGTAATCGGGTTGATATATTTATAAGAGAAAAGACCCTCCTAACGAGGTAAGAAGTCGAGACGATCGCACCTTCAACTTTCAAATTTATAATATATTATGATATAAAATATCGTAAGTAACAAGAAGGGAAGCGATATTCAGCAAGCCAAAGTTTGTATACCCTTGCTTTTCAATTTTTTAAATATTAAAAAAATTATTACAGAAAAATTTAAATAATGTTAGATTTAAAATTACTGGCCGATATGTTTATATGTTTTTATTATTTTGGAATTAGTTTACCGACCCTTTCTATGGTACACAGAGAAAAAAACGGAACAATACCCGTTTGATATTGTCTCCTCAATTTTCACATATCAATTTTATCATATCAAAATGATTCAAATTCAGATCAATATGATACGAAATCATATCAACTTCAAATGTTAATATGAATCCGTATCATAATGATATGAATACTTAGCAAGTTGATAAGATTTCATATCAAACGTAACATCGAAAAGTCTTCGAAAAAATAGTATGACTGTAAATTCGTCCTTTTTTGTATATTCTGTGTACAACGGTATAATTACGCTTTGTATGCGGTGGTCCCACTTTTATTTACGGCGTCAATTTTAGTGTAAAACGTAACTAAAGAAAAGTTTAAGGTGTTTATAAATGTAATTACTTGGTAAGTATGTATAATTTTAACTAAATTACTTTATTTGTGCATTAGTTTGTCGAAGTACCATGGAGGATCCACTTTTGCTTCAATTCCTTACGGACCACGAGGTCGATTTGGTTGTGCTTGACCTGCTTTTAGGTTTTTATAAATCAACATATGTGCACATAGATATATATATATATATATATATATATATATACATGTGTAAGCCATTATTAGTTGAGACTTATTTTTGCAATATATTCCTAGAGTGTGGATACAACTACGAAAGGCTGCAGAACATTAGTGCTTCAGATCTTGATTTAATATTTTCCAAGAGAGAACATCTGAAATCCGAGTTCCGCGAGAAGCTCCAAAAATGGAAGCGAGCACAAGTAAGTTTAATTTTTAATATTTTCATAATAGGTTGTAATAATTTCAAATTTTAGCACATTGATGTCTGCGCAGGGGATACGACACCAACATATAAAGAAAAGGTGACATCACAACAAAAGAATTTTTTGTGAGCAGCTTTAATGGGCATTACCAATCCTATGAAATTGGCTTACTTATAAATAATACTAAGATAATAAATATTAGCGAATTTGAAGGCCCACCAATTCATGTATATTACACACCAACTGGTCTTAAAATGATAAGAAGAAAAATATTTTAGTTTATTTAATTATGATAAGTAATTTTAAGTTACAATTATTTTTTATATGTAACATAAGACTTTGAATGAAAATAAATTTTAAATAAAACTACAAATTTGTTTCTCTCAATAAAATGATTTTAATATAAAGCTGGGTATGAGATAAGTGTCAAATTGATTTGACAAAATATCAGTTTGATATGAAAGCATATCAGTTTGATGTGAAAGCATATCAGTTTGATATGAAAGCATATCAGTTGGATATTAAAAAATACCACAATTTGGTCACAACTTTGATATGTGCTCATATCAATCTGGTATGAAAAATACCAAATTGACATGTTCGAAAATATCAATGTCATATGTTCGAAAATATGAATATGATATGGCAACATAAGGGATCAAAATTGATATGAAAAAATACCCGATTGATGACCAGTTTTGGTATTTTTTTTTCTCTGTGTAGCTATATGATAAAGTCTTCCTATCTTGTAAAATTAAATTCGTAAGTTTGAAATCTTAAAAAAATATCACAGGATCTATCGATATATTTAAAAACAAATCTGCTAGCCATAGATTTCAAAACATATCTTATAAGAAAATATGGTCCCTGGAATTGTACCCATTGTTTTCGTCCCTATGTGTACTGCAGTTAAGAGTGATCCTGGCTGAAGCTTCCCTCAAAGCCTCTTCAAAATTTTAACAAGGCAACCAGCACAAGTTGACTTCAGTTGAGTTCACGTCGTGGGCGGCACCACGCCCCCTTCTTGGCTCCTGCGGGTGTGGACATTAACCCCAATTGGCTAAATGGCTCATTAGGTCAGTGGGGGAGTTCTTTTGCTCACGGAACTCCAAAGGAAATGGATAAGTGTAGAAATGGAAACAGAAACAGAAACAGGAGCAAAGGCAAGCGAATTGCACTGCTGCGTGGTCAGTTATAATTAGGGACATTCGCATTCGGAGCTTTACGACCGAGCGATTAGGCGAAAGGATACAAAGGATGTGGCTACCAAGGGAATGATGGGATGACCAAGGCCAAGGACACAGGAGTCCCCACTCCACCTTCGGTATGAATTCAATATAATTAATTGACAACATGGTGGTTTCTTGGGAACCCCGAGAATCGTAAATATATCGGTTACAGACGGCCCTTTGTCCAATTGGAAAGTGGTCAAAGTCATGTTTGGTATGTTTGTTTAGGAGCCGTTAAGGGAGCGGCTTTGAAAACGCGTAGTGCCCATGGCAAGTGTATCCTCCTTTTTGGATATACCGACTTTGGGGGGTTGATTAATTGGCCATAAACCAAGCGATTATCATTCTAATTTTGGGGGAGAAGGGGTAGTGAGGAATGTCTCAGCCCACTTTGGAACACCCACCACCCAGTTAAATGTATCTCCCCTTTAGAAGTTCGAGTACCAGGCATCTCTGTGGCTTAGCCAGGATATGGGATGTCCTTCTGTTGCAGGGTGGGTGCTGGAGTGATTGCCACTTGTTCTGCTGTTCTGGAGCTCTGCAGTTCTCGAGTTCCAAATCCATTTGCCTGGGCAGCGTTTACCGTTATGATTGCAGAGCCCTTCCAGCTGGTAATTTTCCCTTGAAGTTGCCCCGCAATCAAGGGGATGTGGATGTAAATGGGGATGTGGATGTGGATGTGGTGGGCGGAGGAGGGGCAGA